TACCAAAATAGCAGCCACTAGCCAATTATAGTTCATGAGTGAACATATCACCAAAAAGATTGTGAATGCCATTATTGGGTTTTTCAATCATACCCAGCCACACTACCAGGCAATAATCACTGTTACTAATTGAGGAGGCAAATGACAGTGACAATTAACTGCATGGAGAAAATAATCTAGAGAAAGCAGTATCACCTCTTGTCAGGAGCTATACCTGCCCTGCTGGAAGGGAACACATGAAAAGCAACAGTACAAGGCAAACATTAACCTGTTTACTATGGAACACCAAAGTTCACATAATCGTTCCTAATTGTCTTCAAAACCTCACCTGCTTCCATTCCTCTCCCATCACCCCACACTTCCCAGGCTGCAAGCCCACTCTGCCTCTTGTCATTTCCCAAACATTCCATTTCCCCCCACATCTGTGCATCTGAACACAGCCTTCTTCTGCCCAAGAGCCGCTTCCCCAACTCACCCCACTCACACACAGTCAACAAAACAACTTAAAAGACATCTCCTTGGTGAAGCCACTCTGATTTTCTAAGATAAATTGCTCCATTCTCAGTGGCTTGACTTGAGCCCATATTAGGTTATAATATTGCGAGGAAACAGGAAGCTTAATTTGTTTATATGTATTTCTTAGGCCTGGCATCTAGTTCAGCATTTGATACACAGTAGGTGCTCCCAGTATTTTGATTAAAATTGTAATAAATGTACAAGGGAGGAAGCAATAATACCTGTTCTATCTATTTTAAAAATTAGATACATGTGAAAGAAAGTACTTTGGAAAGTATAAAATACCATCTCTATTTCTGTCAGAACTACAAAAATGACTGTTAGTTTCAAAAGCCATTTTCATTTCTATAGAATCTCTTCCCACCTACCAAAGGGTGAACGGAGGAAGAGAAAGGACAGAAAACCCAGGTATTTTTATTGAGTGTTATTATGTGTCAGGCACTGTGCTAAGGCCTGGAACTGAAAGATAAGTAATAGCTAACTATTGGGCAGAAAAGTAGAGCTTAAGTGTTTCGGGCAGACAAATAAGTGCAAAGGCCATGTAGTGAGGAGGCGGCATCTGAAGAATGAACAGCTTGGCTTACGCACAGAGTATATTCTCAAGATGCAGAGAGGAACCAAAAGCCTAGACATCGTAGGCCATGTTAAGAATATTGGTCTGGGTCTTAAACATAATAATGGAAACCTTGGAGCTAACCAGCCTTAATGCTAATAGGTCAGATTAAGAATGCAGAAAGTGTGTCTCTGGAGTCTAGCTGCCTTCCCCTGCTTCCCGTCTCTCCCCACTGCTAGGGCCAGTGACTACCACTTACAGGTACAGCCCTATTCTAAATTCTGAGAAAAGAAATTGATCATTTGGGCTCTATCTTCACATAGAGCTTCTCAGGACATCTAAAGAAATCTCTTAAGAGATACAATACATATTTTAAGGTTATAGAAGTTTTAAGGAAATGGTATAGCACAAAGGGGAGAATTCCGAACCCTGGATGTACATCACCTGGCTCCAAATCCAAGTTCAACACTTATAAGCTAAATGGTCTTAGGCTGTTCTGAGAATTAAATTACCTAATCTTTGTGACTAGCACATAGAAAATACTAAATGAAAGTTAGCTGTTATTGCTAATTTTATTACAATTACTATATTAATATTATAGAAAAGTCTGAAAGTCTTAGACTAACGATAGTTTTTTAGTTCTCAATTCTATATTCCTGCCATCCCATATGGGAAAGTTAAAAACCTATTATGCTGATTTCTACCACAGTTTCAATAGCTAAACTTCTGAAAGGTATTCCTTTGGCCAGGCCACCACCTTCTGCCGTGGGTCAGTTAAGATGGGGGAAAAACTTTAAATTTGTAGTCAGAAGACCTGTGTTCAAGTTCAAGCTAAAAATACTGTAGCTATAATTGATGGTCTAAAACGCTGGAGTCTTAATTACCTACTTTATATATTAGAGTGAGCTCTAAATTGATTTTTAAAGGAAATTTTACCTCTGCCATGGTCATACCCTACTTTTATGTGGATAGAAATAGGCTTACCTTTAAGATTCTATTTTCATTAGGTTCCTTACATTTCATAAAAGTATGTCATTCTTGCTTTTAGTTCAGTTTTCAATGTTAAAGCATGTGGCTCTAAATTTATATACCGTATCTGTAACTTATATCTCTGTCATGGACCAGAAGTTTGGATGAGAGAAATTTATATTTATGAAGACATACCAGGAAGATACATATGACAGTTTGATTAGTCAAATAAATAATCAAAAATGTATCAGAAAGACATGTATCTGGACTGGATTGTTTTAGCCTTCAAAGAACTGCTTTTACTAAACTGTAGTTTGATGACATCAGAAACTTTAGTGAAACTTAAGAGCTGAATTTACTGTATAAAAATTAATTAGGTGAACAAATAATAGTTACTATTTTAAGAACAATAAATAAATGAGGTATAAAAATGTTCAATGGTACTGGTGAAGTCTGCCTCCTACCTTTTGTTCAGGATGATTTTCCTAATCATTTATTTAATTTTATCTCATAAAGCCTACTGTTACCATGTGCTTTTGTTAGCCCTATCTGTCTCTCCAGACCAGATGGTATGAAAGACTACCTCAAAGGAAAGAAGTGGCTGTTCTAGGTCTCATACTTCTGGAGAAACTGAATCTTGATTAAGCATTCTTCAATGAAACAGACAAATGCACATTAACCTGTTAAAATCTGTTATTTTAACTTATCATAAAATATAATTCATTTTTAGATTCATATTACTGATCAAATTTGCATATCTGGCAGGAAAACATGTGTGAGTAATGTTGATATTCAACAATGACACTAAAAATTTTCTTTATCCTAAAGTTTGTAAAACACATTGAACATATATAAACACACACAAAAGAATTTTATAAGAAGGATGATATTTGATACTTACTCGAAGCCCAGGAAATCCCGGAGGACCAATGCTACCTATAAGTCCCTATGTAATAGAAATGTGAAAAATTGGTTAAATTTGATTTCAAACTAAATGTATTTTCTAAAGATGAAGACAAAAATTTCTAGGAAAAAATATACCAAATTTTACCTTCTTCTAGCTAACTTCGGCAACTTCCCTACTCTTTTGCATCCTAAGAAGTGCAGTTCTTTGGTGGCAGCTAATGTTCTATAAAAGTAGCCCAGGCTCCATGCTTTTGGATGCCAGGACTACCACCTCACCTGGGATAATAGATTTCTCTGTCTGTTATGTGAGTAAGTCTCATTAATAATCAGCATTAGAGACATAATATTAGCCTACTGTTGTTGTTTAATCTCTAAGTTGTGTCTGGCTCTTTCTGTGACCCCATGGACTGTAGTCCACCAAGCTTCTCTGTCCACAGAATTTCCCAGGCAAGAATATTGGACTGAGTTGCCACTTCTATTCCAAGGGATCTTCCTGACCCAGTGATCAAACCCATGTCTCCTGCATTGCAGTTGGACTCTTTACCACTGAACCGCCATGGAAGCCCTAATTAGCCTATATGTAGTGAGAAAAGACAGGATGGTCAACTTGTTAGGTGAGAAGATCATTTTCAGATGACTTAAAACACTGTCAGCTCTTTTGAAGAACTTTATTTAAATTTTCTAAATTTCTCATTTATAAAACAGATATAATATTTGTTTTCATTTTGTAAAAGAACACAATGAAAACTGTTATATAAAAGGTTCTGAAAATTTCCATAAAGCACTATACAAATGTAAGAAATTACCAATATAGTTAAATTATTTGTACGAGGTTTTAAACTATCATTTTTCCAGTTGATTCTTGAGGAGCCTTTGTGAGTCTTTTGACCTCATCATTACATTCCTTGTGATAACTTCTAATCTATACCACATCAGTGTTATATCATTTACATGGTACAAAGTATAAGAATAAACCTCCCCTTTTTTCCTGCATTTAAACTGTTTTGAAACAGAGGTGTAGTATAAAATTTAAGAATTATAAACCAATACACTGAAAATATCCAGTTAATTCTTGCATTTTAAAGATGACTCAAAATGCTCTTCAAGCAGTGTAATTTAAGTATAAAAAGCAGATTTCAAAGGGTAAAATGTTAATATTTTTTAGGAGCCCAACTCTAAAAAATTTCATGTATACTTGACAAGATGGTTTCATACTAAGTGTGTAAAGACATAAATGGTATAAAAGAAACATGTAAATAATGCTTAACTTTATTATGCCTGAAAATGAGAAGCTGCTCAGAATCATGGGAAATAAAAAGATGACAAACATTTTACTTTAGACTGATTCAATTTTTTAACAGTTTGCTTCAAAATCAGTCCTACTCTTATTTTATCTTCTAAGCCTTATAACAAAACTTTTGCTAAATTCAATGCATAAGCTAATATAGTTTATACCTTAGAAAATGAAATAAAAGGAAACTATTTTCAAACACTATTTTATTTACAGATGTCTAAATATAGGAATTATTCCTAATATAGGCAAAACAGCATTCCATCATTTTTTATAATATGCTAGTTTTAGAATTTTAACTCCCTGATCTGAATACAGATATCTAAATGATCCCCTCAAAGACTTCTTTATAAATTACTCAAAAGTAAGGTAGGTCAATAATAGGTTTGAGTCCAAAAGAGCAATCACTAAACACACAATTTTTACATGAGGCTTGTTAGTACCTTGATATATATGAAAGGCGTCTTTCCCATGTCCGCCCACCCCCCCACTGAATATACAAGTCAATATTGTGATTGTATACTTCTAATATTTTACTTAGTAATGTATAACATAGTCAAGATACTGAATTGTAAAGATCATCTCAAGACAGAATTTATAACACTTTGTTTTACTTCTCTTGTAAAATCACAAAATGGAATGTGCTCAGTGGTATCACAATTGTCTGGTCAAGAGTGTTTGTCAGGAATGTGGTAATGAGCATGACAAGCACGGTTGCTATGGAATCCAAATGATGCTAGAATGCAAGGGTGGACCTTCACTATTTACTCACAGGACTGCCATCAGGACCCGCAGGGCCTCTGTCTCCAAAGTCACCTGGAAAACCCTAACCCAAGGAAAGAGAAAGAAATGCTGTTAAAACCCAAATAAGGAATTCATCTTTGCTTTGTTTTCAGGTAAGGAACTTAGTAATAGGAAGTATTTATTTCCTAACCTATAAATTGTAGTGCAACAAAAATGTGTATTTGTTTTGCATAAAACATCACTGATTCTTAAGTACATAATTTCTATATTTTATAAAGATTACTTTACATGCCACAAAATATATACAGAAAGATAAGCTGGAGGAAACAGAAATGTGTTCATCATTATATAAAGAATCACTGCATTAGAGGAAATACAATCAAGATTTCCAACTGACCAATTCATTAGTTACATCCACTATTTCAGGTTGTTCGTATATACCCAGCACAGAAAATGAAATGGCTAATAACAATGAGCATAAACTTAGTACACTTATCTTGTGCAAAAGGCTTTACGCACATTGTTACATACACATTACTTCATTCCATCTTCACAGCAGATCAAATCAGTGAGTATAATATTCTCACTTTGCAGCTGAGGAAACTACAGTGTAAAAGAGTTAAGTCACTTGCAATTTCTAGTGATGGGTGGGACCAAGATTTGAATGGATGCAGACTGACTGCAGAGTCAGCTCATTTTTACTGTCTATATGAATACTGTAACTCATCACTTCAAGATATGATACAATATGTAAGAATGTCATTTAAGAAAAAGAAAAATGCCTATAAATATTACAAATACAAAATGGGATGTCACTGAAATATAGCCTTCTTAAATGCCTACTGAGAATTCCATAGAGTAAAACTATTAAGGGCAGTAAATTAACATACTTTCTAATTATAACTTCTATTGTAAAATAACTCAATTACTTAGTTACCCTTACTTTACATATTCAAGATTTCACCAGTGATTTAGCACTGAGTTTATCAACTTTAAAGCTCACTTGTAAGAAGACTACTTTATGGGACTTCTCCAGTGGCACAGATTTACAAGCTGGATTTAGAAAATGCAGATGAACCAAAGATCAAATTGCCAACATCTGGTAGATTATAGAAAAGGCAAGAAAATTCCAGAAAACATCTACTTCTGATTTAGGGATTATGCCAAAGCCTTTGACTGGGTGGATCACAATAAACTGTGGAAAATTCTTAAAGAGATGGGAATACCAGACCACCTTACCTGCCTCCTGAGAAATCTGTATGCAGGTCAAGAATCAACAGTTAGAACCAGACATGGAACAATGGACTGGTTCCAAATTGGGAAAATAGTACGTCAAGGCTGTATATTGTCACCCTACCTATTTATATGCAGAGTACATCATGCAAAATGCTGGGCTGGATGAAGCACAAACTGCAATCAAGATTGCCAGGAGAAATATTAAAAACCTGATATGCATATGACACTACCCTTATGGCAGAAAGCAAAGAAGAACTAAAGAGCCTCTTGAAGAAGGTGAAAGAGGGGAGAGAAAAAGTTGGCTTAAAATTCAACATTCAAAAAACAAAAATCATGGCATCCCGTCCCATCACTTAATGGCAAATAGATGGGGAAACAATGGAAACAGTGAGAGACTTTATTTTGGGGAGCTCCAAAATCACTGCAGATGGTTACTACAGTCATGAAATTAAGATGCTTGCTCCCTGGAAGAAAAGCTATGACCCACCTAGATAGCATATTAAAAAGCAGAGACATTATTTTGCCGACAAAGGTTTGTCCAGTCAAAACTATGGTTTTTCCAGTAGTCATGTATGGATGTGAGAGTTGGACTATCAAGAAGGCTGAACACTGAAGAATTGATGCTTTTGAACTGTGGTGTTGGAGAAGACTCTTGAGAGTCCCTTGGGCTGCAAGGAGATCCAACCAGTCCATCCTAAAGGAAATCAGTCCTGAATATTCATTGGAAGCACTGATGCTAAAGCTGAAGCTCCAATACTTTGGCCACCTGATGCAAAGGGCTGACTCATTAGAAAAGACCCTGTTGCTGGGAAGGACTGAAGGCAGGAGCAGAAGGGGACAACAGAGGATGAGATGGTTGGATCACCGACTCAGTAGACAAGAGTTTGAGCAAGTTCCAGGAGATGGTGAAGGACAGGGAGGCCTGGTGTGCTGCAGTCCATGAGGTCACAAAGTTGGGATACAACTGAGTGACTGAACAAGAACAACCAGTGGTGCAGTGGATAAGAACCTGCCTACCAACACAGAGGACACCTGTTCAAGCCCTGGTCTGGGAAGATTACATGCCTCAGAGCAACTACTGGCGCCACAACTACTGAACCCGAGTGCTGTAACTACTGAAGCCCACGCGCATGTTCCCTGTGTTCTGTAACAAGAGAAGCCACCACAATGAGAAGCCTGCACACTGCATCAAAGAGTAGCCCCCACTCGTCGCAACCAGAAAAAGCCCTCTCATAGCAACGAAGGCCTAGTGCAACCAAAAATAAATTATTTTTTTAAAAAAGACTACAAAATGCTTTGTAAGACTTATTTCCAACAGTTTGATAGCATTCATTTATAAAAACTTGTAAGATTAACAAAAATAAAAGCACATTATTCAATTTGTTATAGTCTTTTACTTAGGCAAGCCAGTATTAAATATTATGTTTAACAAACTGCGAGAAATCACTGCTTCACTAATACAAACATGAATGGAATACACTGAAAAGATGTTTTAAGAATGGGGGAAAAAAAGGTATGATGTTTCTGAGACACAGTTAATTCTTACTAGAAGCAGTTTCTCTTATTTTGTAATTAGAGGATAATGCACAAATCATCTGTGAAGTCAAACATATTGCACCTATACCCCCTTTAAAATCAGTTGAAATTCAGACAGGGATTTGCTTTCATTGTCCTCAGAAGTCAAATGCTGTTGCCAACAAGCTTAAAAATCTACAATACATCATTCCATTCAGTATGATTTATTATGGGCATTTGAAAGTTTTTATGACATACAGGTAATGGAAAGAGTAGAATTAAAACACTGTAATAAAAAATCTGAAGTATAAGAGACGATTGATATTTTTAGACAGATCCTAAGTAAGTTTTCCAGAAAACTCAGTGAAATAATAAACAGTAGGGGACACACTGCATGATTCCACTGATATGAAATGTCCAGAACAAGTAAATCTACAGAGATAGAAAGTAGATTAGTGATTGCCTAAAGCTTGTGATGTGGTGAAGAACTGGGGGGTGACATCACATAGTTTCTTTCTGAGATAATGAAAATGTTCTAAAATTAGACAGTGTGATGGCTGCACAAATCTGTGGCTATACTAAAAACCACTGAATTCTACACTTTCAAGGGGCAAATATATGTAAATTATATGTTAATAATTTTTCTTTTAAGTGCAATTGGTCTAAACAAGAAGCTAGATTGCTAAAATCATTTTTGGGGACTCATTCAGGATGCCTAGAAGATGTGATCTTTGAAACCCATTGGTCCCCTACCCTCATCCAGTGGGAGATGCTGCTCTTCAGTCCAGCCTCCCACATAACTAATGATTTCTCCCTGGGGAGAACAGAGAGACCTGTGACTAGTTCTCCACTTATCACAAAGCCTGTATTCCCTATGACCAACATAAAAACAACAAAATAAGTACTTATGAATTTCAACTTCCTATTCTTCTGGTAGTTCAACAATATATATAATAAATATTAGCTGCCCAATGTTACTTTGCCCTGAAACAATTTAGTTGAGCTGAAACTGTATCTACTTTCAAAAATTTTATGTATTATTTCTCCTCTCACTTTGCTACCCTTTAAGCATTCCATTTCACTTTTAATTTCTCTGTTCTAGATAGAAAAAATTTATTGTTTTTATCCATCTTATATACTGACCACTGTATTACCAATATTTGAAATAATTCCTATTACATCTAGACATTTTGTTTTATGAAATATAGTACAGTTAATGTCACAGAAAAGCATCATTTGGCTATATTGGTCATATATTTTCTTTTGAAGAAAATCATGCCAGTGTTTTATAATGTTGCATATGCCCCTGCTTGTTCATGCTTTATTCAGTTGTTATTTCAATTCTGCCAACTACATGTATGTTTTTTTTTTTTCTTTTGTAATGCAGGAAGAGCTCTGAGTTCCTTTAATAAAATGAACCTGTTTGCAGCTATACTATCTCCATTGTTAAAAAAAAAGGATCTGAAAGATTGATTGTAAAATATGGAACAATAGTGACATAACACTTTGCCTTTGAACTTAGAATACAAAGGAGTTTCTAGAGTTTCTTTTTCTCCTTGAAAAAATACATTGCAAAATGAAATAATAAATTTTCTCTCATATTTACTTTGTGGAAAATTATAACCACTAATTTAATCAAATTGAGTTTTCCTACCAAAGGATGTAATGGCCAATTTGCAGGTTATCATCCATAGGAAAGCTTGAGTTTTTGTCCTTTTTGCTCAACTTGCCAATTTCATAAATGGCAAGTTGGCTTAATGGCATTTTAGCGTAAATGGCAATTTCTTATCATCTTCTAAATGGGCATGCCAGAGTCGCACTGTTGCTTCTATGAACATAATTCTCTTTCTTACATTTTTATTGTTTTGATCAGTTACACAATTTTATTTTGTAAAGATTTATTTTATAAGGGACTTCACTTGATCTCTTCAAGTTGTTCATTTCCACTGCTTGATCACTGCAGTGAACAGACTTTAAGGTGACTCCTCATGATTCCTACCTCCCGGGGTCCACATCTTTGTCCAAACCCTTCCTTTGAGTGTGGTGGGGCTATAATTTGCTTCTTCTAACAACTAGAATATAGTAGAGATGATGGGATGTCACTGATGTGATTATGCTATACCACACACAAGTCTACTTTAGCAGTCTGGAGCTAGAATCTTCCCATGTGAACTTGATGAAACAAGCAGCTGTGCTGGAGATGCCTACATGGCAGGGAACTGTGAATGACCTCAAGGAACTGCTGCCAATTTACAGAACCTGAAGGTGGACCATATCACCTCCCCAAATAAAAAGAAAAGCAAAAAGCCAGGATCCTCAGTTCTACAACCTCAAGGAAAAAAATTCTTCTCACAACCTGAGTGAGCTTGGAATTGAACTCTTCTCAGCCAAGACTCCAAGAAATAATGCAGAGCTGACACTGCGGCTTCATGACCCTCAGCAGAAGACCTACTTAAGTAGTATCTGGACCGTTGACCCATGAAAATTGTGAGATAATAAATGAGCATTATTTTAAGCTGTTACATTTGTGGTATTTATTACGTAGGAACAGATAGGAAACTTATACAAAATTGGTAATTAAGTCTAAATTTTAGAGTATACAGTCCTATTGCAAATTTTACTATGTGGTAATGCTCAATGTAAGACCACTTGCACTATTTCTAGATTTTATTTATTTATTTATTTATTTTTGTTTTTAAGTCATCTGTATTTGTTACAACTTTTTAAAGCAGAATGTGACTTGAGCACTACATTTCCATTCACAAAACTTGCTCCAAGTTACTTAAAAATGTAAGTAAATAATCTGTTTGAAAAATTTCTACTGATTTTTATTTTCTATTGCAAATTATAAACAATAAATAATAATGGTTAAATAAATTTAAGATTTTAAATTTTCTTTAAAATTTTAATGTACTCTAATATGTATATTTTGAAATTTTCATTATTCTAGCATTTCCTATGCATCTAGTTGCCAATGTAAACAATTCTTATCCTGCTTCATGAATTTTCTGTCTATACCTATGAAATACAAATTTAAGAGTAATATGAATTGTTTAGTACTAAAAAATGCTTCTCAGTCTCTGGGTGCAACTACTACAAACACTGTACTAATTCTACTACCTCTGAAACCAAAAATCAGAGTGCAAAGAGAAGCAGGAAAATAGAAGGTTTGCGTCACCAGGAAACAGTACTTCATTACACAAGATCCTATTGCATTCATGCTGAAAGGAGAATTAGATACATTAATTCATCTTTCCTCAACCTCAGTGCTTCTACTGGCTGCTCAATCCTCACCATAATCTCAAGCAGTTTCCATGTTTCATTTTGACAGTGGTACCATCTACAAAACTTTATGGTATTCAGATGTGAGGTTATAGGCAAGATATGTGGAGAAGAATTTCTCTGAGGCTTGATTATTATTAAAATACCTTGGTAGCCAGCCTCAGAGATGGATCCTCAGGGTTTTCACTGGTATTAATGCCCTTGTGTATCCCCTCCCATTTTGAATTCTGACTGGCCTATGTGACTAACAGAATATAGAAATGACAGTATGTGACTTCCAAAGATATGTCACAAAAGGCACTACCCATTCATTTTGTTCTCATTAACCACTTGCTCTGGTGGAAGCTAACAGCCGAGCTGTAAAGACACACAGGACTTACACTGCTGGTGCAGTGGATAAGAATCTGCCAGCCAGTGCGGAGGACATGGGTTTGGTCCCTGGTCTAGGAATATTCCACATGCCATGGGACAAATGAGCCTATGCCTCACAACTACTGGGCCCACACTCGAGAGCCCAAGAGCCACAAGCACTGAGCCCTCATGCCACAGCTACTGAAGCCGGCACACTCTAGAGCTCATGAGTGGCAACTACTGAAGCTCATGAACCTAGAGGCTGGGTTCCACAAGAGAAGACACCACAATGAGAAGCTCACACACTGCACTGAAAGAGTAACTCCCACTTACCACAACTAGATGAAGCCCATGTGCAACAAGGAAGACTCAGCACAGCCAAAAATTAAAAAAATAAATAAATAAACATTTACCCAAAAAAAGGACATTCAGGTTGCCATGTGGAGCTCCCCATGGGGAGGAAATGAGACTTCCCACCAGCCAGTAAGTGAGCCACCTTAATAAGACCCTCCAGTCCCACTCAAGCCTTCAGACGGCTGGACCATCAGGTAGGACTGTATCCATGCTTAGCGCACAAGTCAGTTCAGTGGAGCCAGATCTGTATGTTCAAATTCTGACTCCCCTATAGCTGTGGGTGACCTTGAACAAGTGACCTAGCCTCCCTGTGCTTATTCGCTTAAAAAACAGTGACTAGAGGGGCTCTTTGCTGTTCAGTGCTCAGTCATGTCCAACTCTTTGCAGCCTCATGGATTGCAGGATGCCAGGCTTCCCTATGCTTCACTATCTCCCAGAGTTTGCTCAAACTCATGTCCACTGAGTCAGTGATGCCATCTAACCATCTCATCTTGTCGCCCCTTCTCCTGTCCTCAATATTTACTAGCATCAGGCTCCTTTCCAGTGAGTCAGCTCTTCACATCAGGTGGCCAAACTATTGGAGCTTCAGAAGTAGTAGCTGTTTTCTGGAATTCCTTTGCCTTTTCTATAATCTAACAAAATGTTTGTAATTTGACCTCTGGTTCCTCTGCCTTTTCTAAAACCAGCTTATACATTTGGAATTTCTCAGTTCATGTTCTGCTGAAGCCTAGCTTGAAGGATTTTGAGCATTACCTAGCTAGCAAATGTTGACTATAACCTCATATAAAACCCTAAACTAAACCCACCCAAATAAGCCACTCCCAAATTCCTAACCCACAGAAACCATGAGAAATAATATATATGTATTGTTTTTTACCCCTCTAACATGGAATAAGCAATAGGTACCTAATACGTAACAACAAAAATGGATGTCTAGGATTACAGGTCATACAATACCAGTGCTAAAGGCTGGACCCTGACTGATGGGGAACTCATGTGTGTATGTTTTTTAATACACTTATTTTATTTGTTTTTGAAGTGCAGGGTCCTCTTAAATGCAGAACCCAGATCAAGCTTCTCTCTTGCTTGGGTCTGATGTTACTATTATCAAATATGGTAGTTATCAAATATTAAGAACAAAAGAAGTATTCTAGACTTGGTATGCCTGAATACATATGTGGTGTTAACACCATAGATTACACATAGATATTATACTTGGTAATAAGCTAAGTATCATGAAACAGTGGAAAAGTTACTGCTTTTGGAATTTAGTAAGAGAGTTATTTTCCTAGTTCTACAAAGACATTAAAAAATACTGAATATAAAACAACTAGAGAAAGATTAGAACTAAACCATAAAAATATTGATGACTATGGAATCAAAAAAATAAAACCATTGCAAACTTCTTCTATTAAAGACTACAATGAACTGTGAACACATTTTACTCTTTCTAAAGAACAAATGTTTAGAAAAAAGTTCAACTTAAAGTAGAGATAAATAAAAAGTTATCATAAAAGATACATACACTAAACAGGTATTACTGATAAAACAGGCACTAACAATAAAAACAGAAATTCAACTTTTTCCAAGATGAAGAAATAAAAACAGAAGACTGCACTAAACTGTCTAGGATTAAATATGCTAAAATAAAACCTACAGGTCAAGTTTATACATTCTACACATGAATACATATTACCAGGAAATCCTGATAGTTTAAAGTCCTTTAAGGGCAAACACTATTACTGTAAGGAAAGTTAGAGTATAAAGTACTTGGCGATAATTTAGTCTTTGCCTCTTTCTTTTCCTCATAGGTAAGACAATTTGATCCACATTTCAATGATAAACCATTCCCTAACAATTGAGACTAATTGTAAACTTAGGTAAGAATTGAAGGGGTTTTAGCCAAATTCTTGGAGATTTAGCATTAAATCAGGTTTTATTATTAAACTAGCTATGATCTGGGCCTCAGTTCTCAGACTGAAGTTCCTGTATTGTTGTTAAAGACTGGTTACCACTTGTACTCTAGTTCTAGGAACAAGAATCTGCCTATTCTTGTATTCAAGAACCATTTCTGATGCATAACAATATCCCTCAATCATAAAGGCCAACCTTATTCTTAAATTTTCCCACAAGGAGAATACAGACCATGAACCCAAGCCAAATCTCACTTCCATATTTGCACTCACATTTTCACATTCTTCATTTTGATAACCTACAAGGCTCTCTTGAGTTCTCCCTGAAGTTATCCACCCTGAAAATAAATGCCTGCCTGAATTCCCACTTGTTGGTGTCATACCCCCATGAAATCATGCTCTGTCTGGACATCCTCAAATTTACCAATTGTGTTCAGTGGGCATCTCTCTTCTTAGTCAGTAACTGACCTGACCTTGAAGGTAGGTTTAATTCAAGCTCCTGAGCTCTTCTTGTCAAGCTCAAGCTCCACCACTAAGTCATACCCAACTCTTTGCAAACCCATGGACTGTGACCCTATAGCCTGCCAGGCTCCTCTGTCCCTGGGATTCTCAGGCAAGAATACTGGAGTGGGTAGCCATTCCCTTCTCCAGGGGATCTTCCCAACCCAGGGATTGAATTCATGTTTCTGGCATCTCGTGCATTGG